GCTGGCTGCACCGGTGATGGCAGCACCTGTGTGAATGCATGTGTGTCTGCCCCTGGCAGGATCCTGGAGACAAGGCTTCCTTGATGCGCCCATCCCGCTTCCCCATCCGCTCTGCAGAGGCCAATGCTTGTGTCAGCTGCAATGTTCAAGCTTGGTTCCTACCACCTATCCGTCTAGCAGAGATCACAGGCTTGGGGAGGCAACGCAGATGAATTTGAATGTTAAAGCTGGTGCAATGAAGAGGCTGCTGATAAACCACAGAAACACACCAGTGTCCTCCAGTAACTGGAACCAGTAAGGCTGGGCCACTGAGAGCTGCATCCAGTCTGGATCTCTTCAGCTGCTGGTTGCAAGCAAACAACCTGTTGCTTTGTTTTTACATGTCAGAGACCTAAATCTACGCACAAACTGCAGACATGTAGTTGCAGGCAGGAAGAAATGCAGCCTATGAAATAATGACTGAAATAGCCATTGAGTCATGGTCGTTGTCAACTGCCCACGTGCTGTCCACACAGTGTTAATAAAGATGCAGTGGGAATGGATAAGAGGTTTAAAGGAAGTCTTAGAGCAAAAGGCTCCAGGAAATGAATTCAGTTTACCGAAAGAAAGGGGAAGGATGTAGTAGGGAACTGGTCAGTAAAGACTCTGCAGTCACACAAAGCTACTGCAAGAAGCTGTCTGTTGCAAGAAGCAAAAACTGAATGCACGCACAACTAGAAACACAGCACATCTCTTTCACAGCAAGAGGGATTCACCAGTGAGACAAGTGACTCAAGCACCAGGGTGAACTGTGTATTTTGGTAAATCATGAGTGGATGTTTCCCAGAAGATAGTTTTCTAGATCAAGCACCCTTGTATTGAACTTGAAGAGCGAAATGCTTCAGGGAAAATCCAAAGATTTGTGTTACGCTGAGATCAGTCTAAGCAATCATAACCACGTCTTCTGGCCATAAAAACCCATGACTCAGTTAACCTCTAAACTTACCAGCCATGTCCGATTGTGCAATATTTATTCCTGTTTATAGTACAAATAAAGCAAACTAAGCACTTTGTGCTACTATCTCAGCGTGTGCAATTACTTCGTAGATACCATGTGGTATCTACCTACCTACTGTGGCATGAAAGGCCAGCTGCTGATTAAAACTTGCCCGTTAGAAACAGGTCTTCTGGGGCCTATTCCATGTTCTGCCCTACATGCAACAGAGCAAAAAATTCTGAGTGGCCGAGCCTGAACATCTTGTCTACTCTCTAGAAAGCTAAAATTAGCGTGCTGCAGGTAAACAGCTTTCTCACAATCTTTCTACAAAGGAGGCACCTCAAACCAGAGCTGATCTGCCGGATTTCATTGCTCTTAGTCCATTTCCCCACCTGTAAATTGGGGATTGACTGCAAAAATACGGGTAGCTTACTTCGTGTGGGGTGACTATGAAGTATCTGCGCTTTGTTTCCAGGGGCAGTGAGAATCATGATATTATTGCAAGGGATGTTTGGAGGTTGCGGAAGGGAATATCCCAAAAAGTTTACAGGGGTGAACTCACCCTGCAAAAAGAGGAAAGAATGGGAGGTTAGTGATGAGAGCTGGACTGGCTGCAGCAGTCTAAATCCTCACTGTCACTGATGAACCCAAAGAGTCAGAGACTTCAGTAGGGAAATGTCTGCCCTGTCCCCTCGTTGATGGTCTCTCTCTGCCTCAAGGCCTCGTTTTCTCCTGTCCTGGTTTCGGCTGGGGTAGAGTTAATTTTCTTCCTAGTAGTGGTACAGAGCTGTGTTTTGGATTTAGTAGGAGAACAATGTTGATAACACACCGGTGTTTTAGTTGTTGCTAAGCAGTGCTTACACTAGTCAAGGACTTCTCAGCTCCCCGTGCTCTACCGACTGAGAAGGCTGGAGGTGCACAAGAAGCTGGGAGGGGGCACAGCCAGGACAGCTGACCCAAACTGGCCAAAGGGACATTCCATACCATGGGACGTCATGCTCAGTACATAAACTGGGGAAAGCTGGCCGGGGGGGCCGCTGCTCGGGGACTGGCTGGGCATCGGTGGGTGGGTGGTGAGCAATTGTACTGTGCATCACTTGTTTTGTATATTCTTCTTATTATTATTACTATTATTAGTAGTAGTAGTATTTTATTTTATTTCAATTATTAAACTGTTTTTAAACAGTTTCTCACTTCTAAATGAGTTTCTCACTTTTACTCTCCTGATTCTCTCCCCCATCCCACCGGGGCGGGGGGGGAGTGAGCGAGCGGCTGGGTGGTGCTCAGTTGCCGACTGAGGTTAAACCACGACATCTCCTTCAGGAGAGATTTTTTTTGAATCTGCCTGGGGAAAAAACATTAGGGCCTCTCCTCTATTTGTGACAGTCCTTTAGGACAACCCTTCCCAGTCCCTTTCTCATTAGCACTAATGGTGTTTTACAGCCGGAGCGCCCTCTCCTGTGACCAAACACCAGGAGGAAGGGCTGAGATGGCAGAGCCTCCCGAGTTACTGCCAGGACTTTCTGAAGGGGACGTCTCCCAGTTCAATCTTCCAGCCGACTGAGAATCACTGCAATTGGAAAAGACAGCAAGGAAGCCGAGTTGGAAGAGACAGGCTAAATTCCCTTGGATTAGCCAGCAGCAACAGCCATCCAGCTAAGACACATGCCATTGGCTGTCAAACCCCGTTAGACATGGGACGATGCACATCTAACAGTAATATCTATCACAAAGCTGAGTGCATGACCCACTTCAGAGAGAGCTGATCCTTTCATTTCCACCTAGGAGCGATCCTGTGAGCGGACACTGTACCTTAGTAGCATGACTTAGGGGATACCTCTGTGCAAGTCATAGCTAAAGATGTAGGGGAGGAACCCATGGCCCATGCACAGGAAGGTGACTTTCTGGGGGATGGTGACTGGCTGAAAAGGGAGCAGGGAGTGGGACAGCACCATGTGTACCCAGACCCCCTGGAAGAGTAAGCACTTTACTGTTTGCATGCATTTGCTTCCTTTCTGGTGCCAGTGTTACTTTTAACCTCCTCATCTCTTTCCACAGCCTCTCCTGCAGTTGAATCAGACTGCTAATATTGACCTTCAAAGCTGCACAGTCCATTCCCCAAACCTCCCATCAACCCTACTTGTATCCCGGGTCCACAGGCTAGAGCAGAGGGAACAGATGCAAGAAAACCGCCATCAGCCTCTCTTCCCATATTTCGTTTTCTAGACAGATACTTGACTATGCAGATCATTATCATATGAAAGCTGAGGCAAGAGGACATTCACTGTAACCCAGGGGAAGAACAAGAGTTAGGGCTGGCATGTTGGATATATTGCATCAGCTTGTTGCATTTTTTGCCTTTTGCATTCAAGTTGTGCCGCCTTTTTTTTTTTTTTTTTTTTTTTCAGCTTACTTGTTACAGTCTCTGATCCCCTGGTCCTATTCCAGTGTCGCTACACAATTGCATGCCTCAGCTCCTATAGTCATCACTTCTCATGGGTTGCAGTAAAAAGAAGATGTGCAAGTCTTAAATGTATTTCCTCAATAACAGGAAGCGGTCTTACCTTCCACATTTTTACTGAAACTCTTTAGCTGGGGGGAGAAAAGGGAATCAGTCTGCTGTAAAGGGTCTAAAATCAGTTGTGCTTCCATGTCTGTGTTTCACATGAAACAGAAAAGACGTATATTTTAGTCTTAGTAGTAGTCTTATTTAGTAGTACCCTTTTCCAAATCACACATGAATGATAGAAATAACTATATTTCTCAAAGTGGAGGAGCTTCATGTCTCTACACAGCACGTTGTGCTTATTCCTACAAGGTTTTCGAGACACACAGCATTAGATATTGAGTTATGAAATAAAAACTAGATGTTCTTGTTCAGTTTTGTTTTATTAGCACAAGAAGCTTTCTCATCTATTGATAAAACACACCGCAGGCTGACGAAACTAGTACAAGGAACAAATTCTAGGAAACATAAACCATAATTGTTATTAACAAAACTACTACTCTTAAATCTCCCAAATCTCATTTTTGCTTTCATTATCTCAATGACTCTCTCAACTTTAACCAAAGCCCAAGTACTTGAACCTAATCACCTCTAAACAAAACAGACAAAACTCAGTTGTTTCTAACTAAGGTGGAACATGCCAGTTATGCTTAATTGGCCAAAGCTGAAGATTCCCCTTAGAAGCTGTCGATTAACCCTTCTCCACAATTTTTATCATTATACAAAGTAGCCTCTTCATCCCCCACAAAACAGAAGAAACTATACACAAAACCCAGCAGCCTCAGCAATGAAACAGAAATCAATCATAAGCACTGCTAGGTCTGTGCTCATTGCCATTGTGCTAACCAACACATTTGTCCGTACATATGAATGACATCAAACTCTGCTGGCAGAGGATAAAACAAACCTTACTAGTTTTATGTAGAAAATATATAGGTTTACGTAGGTACAAAATTTTCATCTCCTATGAATCAGGCTATCTCATTTCACATGAACTCAGTAAGAAAGTGATAAAAACCCATCAGCTATGTTAAGAAAATGTCCTGCTTCCACCTTCATCCTGATTAGGACATTCACAGCTGTACTGAAAATATTTAACATTTGTTTTAATCAGATTAAAAACAGTGCATAAACTTTAAAGATTATATTTTTATATGTCACCAGTGTCACCTATTAAAAATAGGAAGGATTTTAAAGATGTGACTTGCTTATTGCTCGTGATACCATTTTCATTGAACAAAGTAAGTGAATCTGTGATTATATTGTTTTGACCAGGAGAGGGAAAGCTAACAGAAACATGGATATTGATTCTAAGATTAATTAAAAAATCTTGGAAAAATAAACTTGTAACAAAGTTGACCTAGAGGGTTGTCAACTAGACTTCGTCTGCAAGATCAATCATAATCAAATTTGTTTTGAAAGTCCAAATAGACTATGGGTCAGCTCTGATAGAGAGGGCGGGCTTCTTATTTTATCCATTTCTTGAAAATTCATTGAAAAGAAGCGTATGTAAAAGCATCATTAGCTTTACATGCCTCCAAACTCTCTGGGGTATCTGCTCAAACAGCAACACTGTTGGGAATGCGATCTGGGGAAAGGTAGTAGTAAGGAAGCTTTTTGTTCTTGTTGCGCTCGGTGATGGCGTTGACGATCTCATCCAGGTTCTTGCGGAATTTTGCCATAGCCTCTTTCACCGGCTTCTCCACGAAGTGTTCGTCTGGGTACATGCCCAGAAACAGCTAATTGAAAAACACCAAAAAATCATGCTTTGAGAAAGCAAAGGCTATTCTGTTTCAACATTATGTCATCCAGTAGAACAAGACCCAGAGCCTCACAAATGCTACTATTAAAATAGTACTATCAATATTTAAGCTAGCCTACATCGGCACTGCCAATGAAAGATGCTGTCCCATCCTCCCTCCACCGCTAGGTGCTTCTTTTCATCCCTACATCTTTCTGTAGTGCTGGTTCTGGTGTCTATGGGGCACCTCCTCCACCTGCAGGGAGCTCATCCACTGAAAAATAAGCACTTTTTTTCAGGCTAGTGGTCAGCCAGATCAGCTTCCCAAGCCAGATCTCTGTAGAGCCACTCAAACGTTTGTGCTGCTGAAGAAAAGGACAGCATGGGAAGGGAATGCACAGCCAGGGATGAAAAAGGAAGACGACTGCTTCTTTCAGTGACAGTGGAAGTTTCTGTTGACTTAAAACTGTCCTTCAAAGTTCAACCTGACAGCTGCTTTAGTCAGCTTGGACTCTAAGGGTGCCCTGAATACCGCATTGCCAATATGCATACTGGCATATTACCTGCTTTAGGTAACTATTTCCCATGATACTACCCATACTACTGGCTTCTCAGCTGAAACATGCTTACTTCTTAAAGAGAAACTTCAGAAGTACCCTCTGTCCATCATCTTCCATTTAAGGATTTCAAACCACATCCTCCAGACACAGCCCTTGGGTGAGACAACCAAGTACCTACAACCTCATTTTACATGAGGGAAATGGCTATAGACCATACTTGCAAAGCGTTCTGTAGGCTCGTTTTGTTTGCACTCCACACCAGCCAGGCACAAGCCACAACTGTAGTGCATGTGGCACTGGGGCAGATTTTCCAAAGGGACAGGACATGGGGACACAGCGATGCTGTAGCTTCTCCACCAGCACTGCTGGGACAAGGAGCGGAGAAAACCCTTGTGCCTCTGCAGCCCCCTTCCTCCCACACCAGCATCCTTAGTCAGTGATGCCATACTTGAGCTTAGAAACCTTCATCTTGGCTGAAACACAGCCTCAGAGTAAAAATACGACTTCTCGCTCAGAGCTGGTTTGCATCTGGTGGAACAAGGGCAAACCCACACCACGGATACATCTCCACAGAAAGGCAAACATGGTCCAGTCAAGCACAGAGCAGCACTACAATCTCATGAGTCCATGTGGTCTTGCCATGGCCCTCATGATCCCACCTACATCTCCACCACGTAGAGAAGAGCGGTTAACTTACTTCATTGTCCTGGAATTGGCTCAAGGCCCAGACAGCTCCAAGATGCCAACAAGAACGTCCCCTGTCTGGCAGACTCTCCACAATTTGCTCGATGGTGACTGTCCCCTTCTCTGTCGGAGGAGGGCGGCGCATTGTTGGTGGGGCATTGGGAATCCAGGAACACCAGTCATACTGCACAACAAAGCAAGACAGCACAGTGAAAAGCTACCGTGGCTGGTATTTAGGAACACTGCAAAGAAAATCAGGAGTCTTGACACCAGAGACTTTGCTTCTATAATATGAGCCTCTCAGAAAGAGAAGGACTAAAGAACAGAGGCATGCTCTAGAGAAGGACTGAAGGAGACAAGGAAGCCCCTACCGTCTTTCTCAGGATCTCACAAGGGAGAGAGTTGGGTTGCCTTAATGGGAGTAGTTATTCTGCCAACCACAGGCATGTGCCATACAGCCCAGATTCACCAGCCAGGCTAAGGACTTATCTATTTTATTAAACAAAGACCTCTTCTGATAATCTGAGGCGACCTCTGATAAAAAACCTGTAATTGATAAAATATCCTCTTCTCCAGTTGCGCTTTTCTGCAAAATTTGCTCTAAGAACATGCCCACAGTACTGTGGTCAGGCAGTAAGAGAGGCAAGGGACGCTGGTGCACCATGGAATATGGCACGTGGGTGTGGCCATGGTGAGTGCCAGACTGGGAACCCAGAATCACTTCTGGCCTGCTTCAATGTTGTGGGATGTTGATGTCTCATTTTGCCTCAGATATGACCCCGAGTTTTGCCACCACCTGAGATGCTGCACTCTTTTCCAAGCACTTTTTCATTACCTTCATACATATCCCCTGCCATGCCTGAGGGAAAGTCCCATTTCAGCTGTGTGCCACGCTTACACTGTGCTCAATCTGTTCTTTCCAGTGCATAGCCATATCCTCCTACCCTCTACCCGCTCTCTCTGCCATTTTTTCCCATGGCTGAAGACCCTTTTGCTGATGGGCTGAATATCTTCTGCATGCCAAATTCCCCCTCTCATTCTCTGAAGGCTCTCTGCTAAACCCTGATAGCCTGGGCAATATTAAGAGATGGTTTCTTAGTGGTACTTAGACAGGATTTCCTGAGGGGGAGGTTGGGAGATGTCTCAATCACTTGTAATGACCAGTTAGAAATGAATAGTCGCAGAGGTCTCTGGGCATGGATGTGGCACAGGAATAGTGTGGGTTCATTTGACACCTGGCTCTAGACCTGCTCCAGGCCTCCTGAGCTGCAGGGGTGGACAGGAAGGTCAACACGGACAGGGATGTGGGATGTACTTGGGAATAATTACCATAGGAAAGATGGTCTCCCTGCTTATCTGTGAGATCATTCATGCCTGAAGCCAGAACATGTGCCAAAAAAAAAGCTCACAGAATCACAGAATATCTCAAGTTAGAAGGGACCCATAAGGAACATCGAGTCCAACTCCCTGCTCCTCGCAGGACTACCTAAAACTAAACCATATGACTAAGAGCATTGTCCAGACGCTCCTTGAATTTTGACAGGCTTGGCACCATGACTACTTCCCTGGGGAGCCTGTTCCAGTGACCGATCACCCACCCGGTGAAGAAGCTCTGTGCAATACAGCCTGACAAAGAGATTTGCTTCTGGCTATGAAGTCTGGTTTCCAAAATGCCTTGATGTTGGAAGAAACAGCATTTGAAAGGCAGGCTGTTACTATAGTTTCAGGGTAGATATGTGTCAGTAAAGGCAGGCAGGGGTAACACAGGCTATCAGTATGTGACACATTAAACATCATAGAGGAAGCTCCAAGTTGCCAGTTGGCTCGCAAACTCAAGAAATGAGCAGCAATGCCCTTTCCATGCTTTGGGAATATTAAGCACATTGCTGCTTTTGAAAACTTGACCATACATGACCAAAGCCTAGATCCTCACAGATGTACTGCTTCAAATTTCTATGTATGTCAGTGGGAGTTAAGTACCTAGATATCACGAAGGATCTGGACTCCTGTCCCACTGACTTCAATGAGACTTTACTTTGTAGAGGCTTGTCTGTGCTGCTGCAGAAAGTAGAAGTGGAGGTCCTGGAGACGTGCAAGGCAGCTTTCAACTAGTTAACTCAGGACCCTTGGTAAATGCTCCATTAGGCCAGCTAGATCGCTGCACTGCTGGGACTGAGCTATTGGAAATAGCCATCTGCACCAACTCAGACAGATGAGCGCAGTCACAGCACTGAACTGCGCTGCACGTGTTCCCTAAGCCACATCTGAAAATGGGACGTATGCTGCATCGGCACAGGCACACTGCCAAATGAGCGCAGCTTACAACAGCAACCCCCGGTAGCACAGCAAATGCAAAGCAAAGCCACTTAGCATAACTCACTGCATTTCATTGCAGAATGTGCCACAGACTACCAGCACATATCCTGGCAGTTCAGGTGGTGTCTGGAAGGCATGGTAGCTAGACTGTGCACCTGAACCCTTCAGCATTTCCGAAAGGGGTCTTAGCAACCCATTTAAATGCTTAAAAAAATTGTTCCCCATAATGAAATTATTAAAACTAAAATATACAAGCTAGAACCCCTAAATTTCAGCTTTGGTACCTATTTAGGACTCAAAATACCTTTCTCGGCTTCCAAAACAATTCAATTTCCACAGGCTTCATGGGGATTTGCAGATGGCCCTGCAGTTATTTTGACCAGAAAGAGTAATGTAATGTCTGTACATCTACTAAAATACATTTCTTAGACCTTGCCCTAGCAGATGCATCTCCCAGCCCAGAAAGTAGAAGAGTCTTCCCAGAAATTCCTACCTGACCAAAATTCACTGCTGCATGCTGGGCCGATGTGGTGAATATTATCACTGTGAGATATTCTGCTAGCTTCTCTCGTGTCCTGATCATCTTAGGAAACCCTAAACGAGGGAGAAGAAAAGCTTAAGTAACCCAGCTATGAAGTAACCCAGTTACCCAGTAGTAATCAGCTACTCAAAAGGCATGAGTTAGAGGGCTGTGCAGCAGTCACTGAAGAGCAGGGCACTCTCTTTCTGAATCTTGCTGTGTGGTCTAACAGGAGTTACTCAAGCTCTCTGTATCTTGACTGTCCAGCCGTAAAAACAGAGTGATCCTGCCTTACCTCATACAGGCTTGTGAGGCATCACCACTGTTTGCAAAGTATGTGGCGTTTCTTAAGGGAAAGGCAAAGTATAATTACATCTTTAAAAAATACTGTATCCCTGTCCTCTCACCCTACCTACCCTGCAGCAAGGAACCCAGCGAGTCCACAGGGCAGGGGCCTCAGATGCTCCCTTTTTCTTCAGTCTGCAGTGCAAGCAGGGAAGGTTCATGCCAAGGAGCAAATGACCATGTGCTTGTATTTATAAAGGTCTGAGGCTCAGCGATCAAGTGTACTGTGAGAAAGAGTGCAGGGAGAGCTTATTTGCTGAAACGGGAAGTGAGGAAACGAGAACTTCTGAAAGAGAAACAACAGAACGAGGAACAGAAATAGTTGCACGAAGCTGTCTTTGAAAGGGAATAACCAAACGGCGCAATAGAAAGAAAGAAGGGAATAGTCAGGAACTAGGGAAATATTTTGCTACCAAAGCATGCCCAAGCCTGTATCTCTCCTATCCCAACTACATCACAGTCCTGTGCTGTACTCCCTGTCCCAGCCCAGTGTGACCACAGGTCCCAGGATACCTAAAGACCTGTCAGCACCCTGGGGCGAGCTGCCCAGGCTCAGGCTGCCTGTGCCAGCTGCTTCCATCTCCACCACCAACCTGATGCAGATGTGAACTCAGCCTGAGAGGGGGAAGAGGCACATGGTAGCTCTGGCCAGCCACCAAGCCCAAAAAGGAGAGGATGCACCATCCCCTCCTGTGTCCTGCTATCCTAAGCACACTGTGCTCATCTTTAAAGGGGCTTGGCATGCTCCCAGTCAGAGCAGCCCTCCCAGGGCAGGAAGGGCGACTGGAGGGGGAGCCCCGGGTGCAACAGCCTCCCCCATTTATCCTCCTTCTATTCTTTACAGACCCAGCCAAGTCCCCCTGCTCTCTGCCCCAGCCCTTGGAGTGGCAGCAGTGCAGACAGGGACGCTGCAGGTCTGGCAGGTTTCCCACCTGTAGTGGCAGTCCTGCCACCAGTGGTGCTTGTAGCGTCCCACCCCAGCTGTAGCTCTGGAAAGGCTCAGTACTTGTCCCGTATCAAGTTGCTTAGGTCAAACATGAAGTTCCTACTAGGAGGCCATTTCTAAGCTTTTCCTAAGAGACAACTAGACAAACAAAACTGATAGCAACTAGGTGTCCCCCAATCCTTTGCTTGTCCAGGCAGGTAGAGCCCAGGAGGCTGTTATACACCAGCGCATACTGGTAACGAGTGGAAACATCACAGTTTTGCCTGAAGGTCTCCACACAACCATGTGTGCATGCAATGCCAAAGCCATCTGCCCCAGGTCACTGGCTGACAGGTGTTTCCAGATGTAAATCAGTCAGGACAGTATGAAGAATCCCCACCCACCTGTATAAATTCCTGAAAACCTGCTTGGACAAAATGTGAGTGGAAGAAAAAAACATGTTTAGGAAAAGGCAGGAGAGTGTTACCTCAGGTGGGAGAATAGAGCTGTGTTATGGGTGAGAGCTCCCACAGCCAAGTAATGGTTTGCAAGAAATGAGAGGCAGTGAAAGGAGACAGAGCAAAGGAAAATATTCCTTGGAAAGAAGTATGAGTATCTTCTCTTGAAGAGAGAAGAACAGCTCAACGATGACACCGATGCTGAACAAATGCAAAGTGCAGCAAGATACCCCTGGGGAGGTTCTTATTTGTTCTTATTCGGTGCAAGGTTTGGAGGAGAGGATTCAAGGGGGTCTCGCTGCTCCCTGTCATTTCTATCAGTCTGCCTGGTGGTTCCAACAGCACATACAGACAGCCCCTCCCCTCATGCTTAAAGCATGAGCAGACAAGATCAAAGGACCAATCCCCAGTGTACAGAGAGATTACACACGTTGCCCAAGCTCATAGTGAGAATCTGTGGCAAAGGAAGGAGCTGTCTCCTGAGGGAGGGAGGGCCTGATCCAGGGTCTCACCCATAAAACTGAGCGTCTTTAGGCCAAGAAAGGAGAGCGTCCCCAACAGCTCAAGGCATGCTGTGCATGCAGCACTGCTGTCAGCAGGGACTTGACAAGCTGCAGACCTGGCTGGGCCATCATACCTTACCTGAGGCCTTCGTGCCCCTCATCCCATAGACGTAAATGTCTTTGATGAAGGCCTGGAGCTCCACATCCTCACACACCACCTCGTCGCTCTCATAGTAGATGTGAATCACATCCTCTGCAAAACTGCAGACACAGGAACAAATGAACAAGACAAAACGAAAAGGAGAAAGCAAGCCTCCCATTCCCTGAAGACCTTCTATTGACCTTGCAGAGGAGGCAGATGCTGCACGAGGAAAGAGAGAAGGGCAAGAGCAGGTCTCAACACCCTCCCACCTCCTTCCCACAAGCAGTGAGAAGGCACAGAGGCAACTTTGATTCATTTCTGACTGCAGCATCACTTCCTCCCCCAACAAAAAGATGCTGGACCACACTGCATCCCCTGAACAGTCCTGTGCACTTTATTCTCTTATTTGAGGCTTTGCTCCTGCCCAGACCTCTGTCCTCACATCTACATCCTTTTCTTCACTTAATACAGACTCCCTCTGGCATATCCACATGGCTCCCACACTGGGAACAGGGGTTCCCAAACTGTGATACCAGCACCATCCCCTGTATGTGGGACACTCCAAAGCGGCTCCTGAATACCATCCAAATAGTTGATCCCCTCCTACCACACATCCTTTTCACAAAACCCAAGTGGCACACTCCAAAGCAGGGGTGGCCCAGGAAACTTCTCTTGGGGAGAAGAGGTCTAGACCTTTTTCCTACACGTACTGCATACAGCAGACATCTCCTCCCTGTTCAGTTCCTCTTCTCAAAATCCCTCCTTCTATACAGGCTTCCCAGGCTAATTCACCTCCGAAAGAAAGGCTCGTAAAGCACTAAGATAACAGAAATAGTTTTGAAAGCAGTGAAAATAGGAAAGCCTGATTTCCTGCAGATTTGCATCTCATGACCGAATGACTGGTTAACTGAGCTATGCTGAGATACTCTGTTAGCTCTGCCGAACATTTTGACATTAAATCTCTCTTGCTAAATATTTTGACAACAATGTATAGGGTGAAACATTTGACTGCAGAAGCTGACTGATGGGATTAAGAATTGTTATCTAATACAGATTTATCCCCTAATAAGCTATAAATTTATTGCAATTTGGAGACCTTTACAAATCTGTCAATGTGGTTTCTATTGCCAACCAAATCAAGAGTTGTTATTAAGGTAGACAAACAACTGCATAAACACCAAGAGTTTAAGTAATTTTGGCTTCCAGAGGAAGCCAAAGGAAAAGAAAAATCCTGCAACATGCAGCAATAAAGATGTTCTGCATGAGCTCTGCCTCCATCACCTGGCACCTGTGCCAAACGCACACAGAAAGTAATCCCTCTCTTACACAACGGCAGTATTTTAGACGGCCTTCCATGCAAATATAGCTTAGTATATGAAGTGTGGATGAGGCCTTTTGGGTTGGAATATTTTGGGTTGGAATATCTACCTGCAGTTAGATTGGAAATAAAAAGCTGACTATTAGAGAAGGGGTTTAAAAATTTGCCGTGTGACCCTCAGTGTTTCTATAGGGACACCCTTATCAGCTTTCTTAAGTCTAGGCCATCTACCACATGCAAAGCGATGCTGGGGATAGAAGTTATTTCATCAAAAGAGTGGAGACTGACACCCCTGCAGAGTGTAGGAGATCCATGGTGACTAGATACATGCATGACCGTGGGTTCGTGGGTCTGGATATCATGCACTCAGAAGGGTACTGCCCACACCATTTATAAACCAAATTATTCACTTATGAAAAATCTTGCAGCCAAGTCTGAGGCAGTGTAACATCTTCCTCCAGCTAGGTTAACACCCATGAACAGTCAAACTACACTGAGTTGACTAAGTGCTATCTGGTATTTGAAAAGGCATACCTCAATCAGCAAATAAAACACAGGAAAGAGAAGAGGGACAAAAACCGGACTACATCAAAATAACAACCACAGAAAAGTTATAACTTCCTTTTCAATCAGATGGGCACTAACAATTGCAGGAAATACTGCAAGATAACCCCTTGCCAAAACACAGAGAAAACACAGGAGACAAAGATGTACCCAACACTTTAAACATTATGCTTGCATTATAAACCCCCTACTTTGTGTACACAAAAGGTCTGATTTTTAATGAACATACAAGCTTTTCAAAAGCCATGTGACCAGACACAGCTGCATATTTAGCAAGCAACTTATGCCATGCAAAAAATACGTTGTTCCTTAAACAAAATGCCACTGTAGAATAAACCCCACATGAATCATTCCATTGTGAGGCAGTGTTTCATATCTGAAAAGAAGCCATGTTTGTATGGTAGAGCAGCCTCGCAGTACCTCTCCTGACTCAGAATTGCTGCCCTTACTGACAAAACTTGGGCCTTGCAATTTTAAGCCATTTTTAAAAAGGTTTTGCTCAAATCAATTAATGCCTAACCTATTTGGTTTTTTAACACAACTCTGTCATGCAAGCCAAGCTTACATTTCCACTCCACAAGAACCTTGACGAGCTCACGTGGCTATCTCGGAGAGCTGGGTTCTCTCTTGGTTTGTGCATAGCTAAAAAAAAAAGCTAATTACATTCCCTTCACAGGGCTAAATTCCAACACACTAAACTGTGAAATCCTATAGAAGAGTATATACTTATAAAGGGGCCTCTGAAACACAGAATGCAAGAAAACAGGGCTGAAAAGAGCAGGAATTAACAGCCTTTCAAGGATGAGTGCTTGCTTAACTACATGTTTTTCCTCAGATGAGATATGCTGGATGGAAAAGTCTCCACGTGAATAAATAGTCCAGGTGCTGTTCACAAGGCTGTGATGAAGAGTAAAGTAAGCAGAGAGAAAATGAAGTCGTGTCTTTGTGACAGTGACTTTATTAGCCATTTCTAGAACTACAGTTTCTTACCTCTTTATAGCCTCCCAGACTTTAATGCCGTCATCCCGGTAATAGTAGTAGGGGATATCCTCTTTGCTGTCCATCCCTTTAGCTTTGATCTCCTCAGGGAAGCAGAGGGAGCTATAAGTCAGATCCTTCATTGCTTTCTGCACCATTTGTACATGTCCTCCTCCGCCTGTAGCATTTGCCTGCAGGAAGAATGGCAAGACGGAACAGTAGGAGATTATGTTCACTTTGTGCCAAGACTGACTTTCCAAATTTGCAGGAGATGGTATTCAAAATGCTGGTGAATCTGTTTTTCAAGAAGAAAACCACACCTCTACACAAACAACTACTGAACTGCAAAGGTCTACTGCAGCTGTGCATTTTGACTTCAGAGATTTCACACCTCTCCCATGAATCACTGTTAATATTCACATTTTCTCCATAGGTACAGCACCTGCTTATAAGGGAATACAGTAAAAAAGTACAGCAACGTCAAAGTATCGAACCCAAAGCACTTTCTGCCAGCCCTATGCTCCAGAACTGGCATGTGTGTGAAGGAAGGCAGCCGGCAGTGTACTAGAACAGGGCTTTTGCTAAACCACCCACTGCTGCTACAGAGTGGTTTAGGACAGTGTGTTTAGGGATGCAGGCTACTGTTAGTCACCCTGGAATTTAAGCCAGGAGATCAATCCTGCTGGGTGGCTACTGATGAAGATGGGCCAGGGTTTCAGTATATGTTACATTTGGAAAACACAGCATGTCCACAATAAACAGCATGGCAAAACTCTTTAGATAATCACTGTGCAAAAGCTCCCAAATTTTGCTTTTCTAGCATATGATGCTAGCGTTGTAGCAGTATTCAGCTTACACTTACTGTCCTCTGGTTCGTTGTTCATCTACATTGGAACCAACAAAATCTGGAGCTCCAGGATCCCTGCTGGCAGATCTTAGCCACACACTCATCCCATGTGCACAGGGTACAGACATTATGCTTCTGTTCAAAGGGATGGGAGCACCTGCCAGGTCTCCACAGTCAGCAGTGGGGTACAGAAGACAAGGAAGACGTCTGGATTTAACCTCTCTTTTCTCCTTGGGTGAAAAACTCTGGAGCATGGAAGCTATTTTTGGCCTGGTGCCAGAGGTGTAAGGGGGACAGAGTTGTCCTGAAACACAGGCTCCCTCTTTAAAAGGACTTCTGAAACCTCTCCAAACTTCCCAGTTGGTGCTAGCATGTTGTCACAGAGACTGCTGCATGCCAACCTGTTGCGGTTTCTAGATGCAACATGTCGTTTCTGGTGGAGCCAAGGGAGGAAGAGCTGGGTACACGTTAAATACCAATGCAGTCAGATTTAGATGTTCAGATTTGACCCAAGAGCTGCACCACAGTCCATGATAAACAGCTATGTTTCACTGACTCAGATGAAGCTGAGTTTTAATCCTAGCAGATCTGCTATTTATGGCAATTCAAGAAGACAGGCTGGAATCTATACCCACTATTTGAGGGGTTAGAAATCTATCTTATCTACACATCTTACTCTGTGACACAAATTTCCTTTTGCAATCACAAATTCTTTTGCTTACCACCCTTCCCCAAGTTGAATAACTGAGTACTTAAACAAATTGGGGACTTAGCTGCGTGCGTACGTGTTCAGGGATGTATGTGCGTATTATGTTACCTTGCACTCCTATACTCCTATCTCAAAGCCACATGAGCTATGAGTAAGTGAGATACTGACTCATTACTGACATTGGCCAGTTCTGAACTGACTAGAGGCAAAAGGTACCGACTTTAGGGCAACAAGAAATGAGTTAAGGCATCAGTTCTGTGTGCCAGTTTCTCAGGTGATATTAGTTATGTTTGCCCTTTAGTAGAAAGGTCAGGAAACAAGGCAATATGTGATGGTTAAAGGATAAAAACACATATGGAACCATGAAGAATAATGAAGATTTGCAAAGGGGATTACTTACCTTGTCAAAAAGGCCACATTCACAGATAAGCTGTTCTCGGGCTTTGGTATTGATGGCTATTGTGAACCGCATGTGTGGCACCAAGAGCTGTGAAATGGAACAAACAATGAAAGAAGGAAAATTCTCTGACTGAATTCAACAGCAACCAGGTGTGAAGTTTGAAGTCCTGGAAGTCCTGGTGGCTAGCTGTACGTTGCTTTGCAGCGCAGCCAGCAAAACTATCTCAGCTGAGCTATCACCAGGACTTCCTTTTGGTTTATCAAGCTAATGTGATAACCTCCCTGAACCGCATACATCCCTTCATGTAAGAACCAACCTTGAAGAGGGGATGCACAGCAGGCAGCTGCCGGAACATAGCTATGCTGAACACCTCCGAGACTAAGTGCGTCCGTAAGAGATGGGTCACTGTCTGGTGGATGTGGAAATCAGATGAGCGAACCCAAATTTTAGCTAGCAGCCAGTCATACACGGCATCTGAAGGAAGGAATATGGGATTGTCTGGCCCAGGATTTTGACCAAGCTGAAAGATACAAAAAGAATATGAAACCCCGAGCCGTTCATATTTAAGATGAGACAACAAGCAATGTGTCCCTTTAAAGACCCTGACAGTAAGCCCACCTGGATTGCAATGGGTACAATTTTATTCTCCAGATTCTTATACAGCAGACAGATGGGTGCAGCCAAGTGCTGTATTGTGCACGGGTCTGTTTTGTTGGCATCCACACCGTCCAGCATCTCATAGTCCACAATGAAAATGTTTCCTTGCTGGGGGGGCGGGGAAAAAAAAAAAGCATGATGTGTTTTAACAGAGTGCAAGCAGCAAGGCTCAGAACAAAGGTCAGCAAGTCTTGGCCAGAGGCTAGCTTGTGCCTTGTGGTTACGAGCGGCCACCAGCGTGCCCTTGCTCACGGTGGCTCAGGGACGATGCCATTGAGAAGGCAAGCACCTTTACACAAACTACCTGACTTGTGTCTGCTGAGCCTGATAGTGAGCCTTTCAGCAAAGAGCAACTAAGTACTTGGCATTCATGCAGTGACACTAAGATGCAAACAAGTTTCACGCTGCCAGCTGAAGAGACCACTGTGATCATCGTACAAACAAAAGCAAGGCACCCTTGCCAACCCTTCTTCAGCACGTTAGTTCAACTCTGCGGGTGACAAGAGGGTAAGACCCTACCAAGAAAGGGAGAGGCCCTTTGCCCCTCTGAGGCAGATGGTCAATCCCTACTCTTTCAGACGAAACCACTGAAAAAGGACCCTTCACCTCCTGGTGACATCTCTTTAACTGGACCTGGAGAAAGGCATGGCCTGCAGCTCCAGGATAGCAGGAGAAAACAGTCAACAGAAGTGTTGCTAGTCTGCAGATGCAACCAGCTTTGTCATGACCAACACACAGCCTGAAGAGAGATGTGGTGGAAGGCAGTTAGAAGAGGGTTTGGATGTTAGAGGATACGAGAAGGAACAGATGAAGTCCAGCCTCACTCAGAGCCCTACCTTCACTTCCTCCTCCAGGGTCAGGTTCCTCTCCAGACTGCATTCTACCATATCCATAGTCACGGGCAACTTCTTGGGTATCTCTGTGCATCTCCTTATCAGCACAGGATTGCATCCATTCAGGAACTGGTAGCCAAACATAAAATCTTCCTTCCAGTGCTGCATCACGTATTCTAAAGGAAAAACAAGCCTGCAGCATCAATATCTGCACTGCATCAATATCCTACTTGCATTGTAGGATTCCTCCTTTCCTCCCCACCTTTTGTTACACTGCACTGCAACTTTGACTAAAGAAAGTAGCAAGAAAATGATTCAAGAGGTGCCACAGAATTTTTAGAAAAATCACTTAAGTTAAATGGACAATGTAATATTTGCTTTTCACTTTGAGAAGAATTAAATTGATAATAATTTGTTTTGCCATGTACACAAGTAATGTCTTCAGGGGAAAAATGAAGCAAGTAAAGTTTTCCACTATTGCCTGTTTTCAGACAAGGCAGAACTTTTTCTGAGAGCAATTTATTTTTCTACAAAGGGTGAAAGGATGAAGAAGATGGGCCTGAAGAAATGCAGGAATAATTAAAAAAAAAGTCTCAAAACTCACAATGCTTCCTAACAGAGCGGTAAAAAGTTAAGTTTACTTAAAGTTGACATTTACATCATCTCTGTCAATTGCATAATGAGTCTGGAGCTGTATCTGAAGTCTACACGAAGCAAAAAATGACTCATCACCTTGGACAGAAACTGCATGACTGAAAAATGCCTTGAACCACCTTCTCCATTAGCCCTGTTTCTGCCTAGGCTTGCAAATAAGCAGATTCAGAGTTGCATTAACATAACTGAGACCGATGCTTAACGTTTAAAACTCAGAGAACTGGAACTTTCCTCATGAGTATGCAAATGTTATCAATGAAATTAATTGCAGATCATATCTAATTCTTGTATTAAAAGTACTTTAGGAAGCAATCTTATTAAATGTAACAAATTGCTCTAATTAGTTTTTAATAGCTCTGGCCACCTCGTGTGCTTTATTTTATACCCGAGGCCACAGAAATTACTCTTATTTTTGTTAACTGGTCATTAGGCAGCCTGAAGAGGAGGAAAACTTCAGAGCAGGAGGGAAAAGTATTTTCCTTTGCAGAGTCTGGACAGGCTATTCACACACATTTGAGGAGCCACACGCTAACCAATTTATAGTATCTGTGTATCTATTATATCCAATAATACAGTAAAATAAAGTAAAATAATGTAACCATGGGCAATAGTAGAAGGTTGGGTCTGGCTCACAAATCAAAGGCTTCCCAGCCCTGCTTTACAGAAATGACACCATGAACTTCAAAACCCGTGTCTGTCTGTAATTCTTTTTACTGGGTTTTCAAGTAACTGCTAAGATTTCCATATTGAAAAGGGTTAAAGAAAAGAAGTATTTTGTCTTTGATATGTTAATACTACGTCAATGGAGTTTTTAACAGTATGAAAGATACTGCAGAAACTGAATGACCCTGAGTGAAACTCACATTCTTAAAGAGGGATTTTTGTCTTCTAGTAAGAAGATGCGAGTATGAAATGGCAAGCACAGCAGGACAATTAATGCAGTATGCACAACTGATTCTGACACATTTTTTAAAAGAGGTGACATTTTGGATAAATGCCACAAGCCTTTTCAGGCCTAGCTTGCACTAATGTCCAATACGAACCACGGTTCCTCAGGTTGTGGTCTGATGGCCCATCCTGGCTGCAGCAGGACCAAGTGAAGAAGTTACGGCTCCCAGGTCATTCCCAGCTCTTTGCAACCCATCCCCAGATCTGTTGGCCTAACAACACAGGCTTTCATGCCTGAAACGAATTCTGTCAAAATGACCTCTGTTAGGAAAAATTTGCCCCTGAAAAGCAGGGGTAAATTTTGAGCTGCCCCATGTCATTGACACAAATGGCCCATGAGGACTGAGTGAGGGGAGCTACAGGTGAGGTTATGACAGCAGAACGGAGGCAGTGGTACCCTCCCCATGTTGGGACAGAGTTGAGAAGCCGGGACTGTTAGCAGCAGTGCAACCAGGACTGAGCACATGGCTGGGATGTTTGATCTGGTCTGTGTAAGAGGCCAAGAGGGGTCACCCTCTCACTTGCCTTTAGCGGAGAACATTTCCAAACGTGCCTCTTTGGAGATTTTCCATGTATTTAGATGGCTGAAGTGGGACATACACGATCAAACTTTCAAAAAAGCCTTAACAGCTAATATGCTCTGAAAAGCACTCCCACTAAGTTATCTCTAGGTTTAGATGCAAAATACTTATGAAAATATGTCCTACGGGACTTGCACATATCTGAAAATACATTTCTAAAAGCCAAAAGGGACTATGATGCCCAACTGGCCTGACCTCCAGTATAGCTCAGGACAGAGAAGGTCACTGAGCAATTCCCAGTAAGTTTAGTTTGTGTGAGATCATAGCTTCGCTTTTTGGCCTTGCAGGCTGCTGGTGTGACCAGCAGTTTGAGATTATAGTTTATTTATGAAAAAACATGAGAGAAGTGCAGGTCAGCCACTTCCATCCTAACCAGATATGTACAAGATAACTAATTAGTCATTCTACAATGCAAACATGAGCAAATGCTGATAAACCCACCAGAGATTGTGTTGCTGATTCTGACAAAGATCCTCTCAAAATCTGCAAAATCACTCCAGGAGGACTGGAACATGTGCATGAAACGGTTGACATAAAGATTCTCCATCCTAAAAATAAAACAAAACAAAAAAATCTCTGGAAAAAATAATCTCCAGCTTCCTCAATACCCTTCCCCATTCTTTTCCACCCTTTTATATACCTACACACAATAAATTTTTCAGTGGTGGAATGTGAGATTGGTCACCCTACAGAATTAAATTTGCTGGCTGTACCTTTACACACAAGCTTGAAAGGCATCTCAAGGGCCCAGTCCCTGCTGTTGCATTTACTGAACTCCATTCTAGAGTTGCTCTCGGCAGCCTACAATGGCACTGCGTTAAGACCTATGTCATATAAAAACTATAGTCAGAAAAACTAGTGCTTCACACATCGTCAGTAGTTAGCATCAGCTGAGGGTCCTAAGATCATTATTAGCACCAGTTCAGAAAGGGGTATGGTGACACAAAGAGATTGAGTGATTTGCACAAAGTCAGAACAAACAACCTAGGATCAGTCCAGCCAGTATCCCTAAATGGAGAACTGCTCCTGTAAGTATCTACGTGACCAAGGCCAGACTGGATCCCTACAGAGTGAGGCCTGAGTTTTTGAGAGCTTTCTATTTACTTAAGCTGCTGGTTAAACTTGACGCTCATCTCTAACCTCAGGAACCAAGTCACTTGGTTGCAGACATCACATGAACATGGGGGGCTGAGAGCCAGAAATGTCTGACTTAAAGTGCTAATTCAACAAAGTATTCTGTCTACAACACAGTCAAGCAAGTTCACCTCATATGAGATGACAAGTCCTAAATTGTTACATAAATGCTAAACTGTTGTTATTAAATAGAAATCATTTATTTTGACTGGAAAGCAAATAATGAACCATAGAATAGAACCATAGAATCTTTAAGGTTGGAAAAGACCTCTAAGATCATCGAGTCCAACTGTCGACCCAACACCACCATGCCCACTAAACCACGTCCCTAAGCGCCTCATCTACACGTCTTTTAAATACCTCCAGGGATGGGGACTCAACCACTTCCCTGGGCAGCCTCTTCCAATGTTTAACCACTCTTTCA